AAAATGAGGTGGAGCAATTGACCTGGATGGTTGATTGCTTAACCGCTCCCAATCCTATATGCTATGAAAGGAGGACATGCAGGGAGGGCTCCCTTTCTAAAGAGAGACGTTGGTAGCAGCAACTGTAATGAGCATTGAAGGGTCTAGGCGTCTCATGAGCTCTTGCTTGTGTGGGATGTAAATTGGCAGAGGAGAAAGGGGCTACGTTGCTGGAAATCAATGTTTTTATTTAGACAGAGGAGGTTTCTGACCTTGATTCCATGAGTTCCTAGTGGGCACAGGCCTTCGGTGCCACAGATATCAGTGACTGTTGTTAGAATCAAGAGTCACATTATAGATGACTCTCCTTCCTGTTCCAGCAGCCAACCAGCATCTCATGCTTGGTTGTCAGGATCTGGCGTTTTATCCCCTGCTCACCCCAGGCCCCAGGCTTGCAAGCCCAGGACCTTGGGTAGTGGGTCTGCTGAGCCTATGCCACACGGCTGCTTGGGTCTTACTTATCTCAAGGTGGTGAGGGTGAGAGAGGTCAGGACTGGGAGACTGAGCCTTTTCTTTTCTCTCCCTCCCACCAGGGTCTGAGTAGAATTGCTGCCTACTTAGCCTCTGACCGCTGCCAGCCCTATCCAATCTTTGCAAAGATAGCCTGCTGGGGTAATAAGTAGTGACCGTCATGGACCAAAGACCTGGGAGGGAGGAACAGTCATCGCCGGCTGATCCAGCTGCAGTAGAGGGCTGCTAAGAAGATTCCTGGCCCTCACCTTGGAGCCCGGGGTTTCTAATAAAGTGCTGTAACTTTATTCCTCTGCTTTTCCTTTTGATTCTGGATTTCCACTCTTCGGTCATCTAACCCATCTGCTACTAGTCCTTTACTTCTCTCCAGGGGTCGCCTCACCCTTATCTCTGCCAAGTCTTCATTACTCCCACTGTGCAAGATGGGGTGCAGAGAATGGAATGCTGGACTTGGAGTAAGAAGACCTGAGTTCAAATCTAGCCTCAGACAACCCTGGGCAAGTCATTTAATCTCTGCTTGTCTCAGTTTCCTCAACTATAAAATGAGGAATATAACAGCACCTAACCTTCCAGGGTTGTTGTGAGGATCAAATGAGTTAATACATCTGTAAAGCACTTAGTACAATGCCCTAGCATATAGTAGGAGCTTTTGATAAATGCATATATTCCCTTCCTTCCCTCCCCCCTTGAAAAAGGAGCGACATGGGAGACCAGTACTCCTGATTTCAATATCTAGCTCCCTTGGCCCTGAGGGGGTGACCTCATGCCCTTGGGCTTTTTCTGTTTCTTGGGTTGACTCAATAAAGGGTAAGGTAGACTGGTGTGTGGACTCCCCCTTTTCCTACTCCCTTCCCTGTTCAATGCTGGGTGCCACATTTTAGGAAGACTGTCAATAAGCTGGAATGTTGACAGGGGTCAGTGTGGGTGGGTGGGTTAACCAAGATGATGACTATTCTCGAGTTCATTTTATATGAGGACCCATGATGGAAGGAACTGGGACTGTTGATTTTGGAGAAGAGAAAACTTGGGGAGATGAGAGGGAGCCACGATAGCTCTCTACGTGCAAGAGACATATAGATCATGCTGGCCCCCTTGAAGGCTGCTGCTCTGAACCTTACTCATCCAAGGTCAGCTTCTGGGTTCCATTTCTCATTCTGGAGGACTTTGCGTTCATCCCTATTAAAAATAGAATAATTACACCTTATGTCACAAATGAGACCTGTTCCTCCCTCTGTCTCTTACCTAGCTGGGGGCAGGGTATGGACGACCTCTTTGAGCTAGTTGGATTCCTTCTTTACCTCTCTTTCTGGGCCCCTTCCCTTGTACCAGAACACTGAAGTGGGTAGGGGGAGTCCTATGGGAAAGGTTTGGATGGTCTTCGCACCTTCAGTATCTCTACAGATTTGTAAACTGAGCCCAGGCACCTGTGAAGACAGGAGGAGCAGGGATAGGGAGGTGCACCTGGGTAGTTTCAGGTGGTTCAGACAGTTTGTATGTACCTGGTCTCTCCCACAACCATTCATCTTCGTCCCCACTTCCATGTTTACCACTTTTTTTTTTTTAAGGCAATTGGGGTTAAGTGACTTGCCCAGGGTCACACAGTAAGTGTCAAGTGTTTGGTCTGAGGCCGGATTTGAACTCAGGTCCTCCTGACTTCAGGGCCGGTGCTCTATCCACTGCGCCACCTAGCTGCCCCTCTACCACTTTCTCTAATCCCAGCAACTCATTCCAGTGAATGACCCCATCATATCCACATGTAAATCCAGAATCCTCTCAGGGGTCCTTGTCCTCTTGGACTGAGGCCGGCTCCTTGCTGTCCCAGGAATTTTGTTTAGGAAACAGGTGTGGGAGGGAAAGGGCACATGGAGAGGCACATGGTGGGTGTGGGTGAGCACAACACATTACCAACTGAGACCTGCACAGAGATGAGGAAAAAGGTGGCGTCGAGACATGTGACTGGAATCTGTGGACAGTCTATATGTTCCACTGATATCCACACAGCGACAAGAAAAGTAGAAAGAAGGGCCCTGGTACATTGTGGGTGGCCTGGAGAGAGCTTATAGGGGAACAAGGACCAAATTGGTGCACAAGATGAGAGGGGATGAATGATAACAGCTGCATTGTTTAAGAGAGTAACCACATTGATGGATGGAGTTTTTGAGTGGGAATGACAAGAGCATCTCATCCTACAGTGGGAAGAACATTGGCAGAGCCAGAACCAAAAATTTTTGCAACTGGGGCAAGGGGTGGGACGTTTGGAGGATGAGGGAGGCTCATCTGGGTTGCAGCCTTCAGTGCGGAGGAAGCTTGCTCTGGGACCTTGCAAAATTTCTAGGCCCATAGAGTGGCCCCTGCTGGGGAGATAGGTTCAGTCAATCACCAAGCATTTATTAAGTGCCTACTATATGACATTGTTCGAAGCAAGGCAAAAAAGACCACAAGGAACCCACAAACTAATGGGGGAGACAATATGCAAACAGTTATGTACAAACAAGACACAGGGTAAATGGGAAATATTTAACAGAGATAAGGCACTGGAATTCAGAGGGATTGGGAAAGGTTTCCCGTAGAAGTTTGGGAGCTGAAGGCATCCAGGGAAGCCAGGAGGTGGTAATGATGGGGAAGAGCATTCCAGGCATGGGGGACAGCCAGAGAAAATGCCTGGAGCTGAAAGGTATCTGGTCAGTTCATGGAACAGCCAGGAGGATCACAGGATTGAAGAGTATGTGGGGGTGAGTAGGGGGGTGGGAGGGCATAAGGTATAAGAAGAGTGGGAAGGAGTGTGTGGGAGGCTAGGTTATGAAGGGCTTCGAATGACAAACAGAAGATTTTGTATTTGATGCTGGAGGCCACAGGGAGCCACTGGTGTTTATTAGGGGAAGTGACCTGAGTTTTAGGAAAATCACTGTAGTGGTGAATAGAGGATGGAGTGGAGTGGGGAGAGGCTTGAGGAGGGCAGGCCCACCAGCAGCTATTGCAATAATCCAGGTGTGAGGTGATAAGGGTCTGCACCAGAGTGGAGGAGAGAAGGGGGCAAACCTGAGAGCTGAAATCTCTCCAAGAGGCCTTGGCAGTAGATTGGACGTGGGAGTGAAAGGGAATGAGCAATGAGGGGTACTGGAAGCCCAGGGATGGTGCTATTAGTACTCCCCAAAATTTCCACCCTGGATTTAGAGTTCTGAGTCTATGTTTGCAAACAGCCGTGACTTCCTAGCTGTGTGGCTTATGGGCTCAGTTCCTTTCCTGTAAAATGGGAATGGGGGTAGTGGTGGGGATGGGGCTAGAGGATGTCTAAGGTAGCTTCCTGCTTTGGAATCCTAGTCTTCTATGGAGAGTAGGAATGGCTCCTCTCTCCCAGCAGGGGAGGGCAGAGGCCGGAGGGTCTGGGACGGGAAGACCCTCCTGGGTGCCGGCTCTTCTACCCTCCCCTTTATACAGAAAAGCCTTTCTTCCCTCTGAATCCTCTTTGCCCTCAGCCTGCTCGCAGTAATTATAAGCCCTAGCCTAGTTTCTTCTTTCTTTTGTAGTTTTCCTTCCTTCTTTGAATGCTGCTGTTGCCAGGCTGTGAGGCCCCTAGAAACAGAGGGGAAGGCAATGAGAGAACAATGGAGCCGGGAGGTGGGGCTGGAACATGGGGTCAGGGCTATCCTGAATAATTCAGTAAAAATGGAAGGATTTCAGGGTGTTAGCCTAGGAAAGCCTATCAGAACTCAGGAATTAATTATGTTAACCATAAAGTTCAAATTTCTCAGCCCATCTGAAGGTTCTCCACACTGGCCCCTGTCCAGTTTTATCCTGCATATAAACCCATTATTCTAGCCAAACTGGTCTATTCTGTCCTCTGAATACACTTTGCATTTTCTGAACTCTGTTGCCCTCCTCTCTCCTTCTTTGCTTATTGAAATCCTATCTGTTCTTTAAGGCCCAGCTGAAATCCTACATCCTCTTACCAAGTCAGCTGGTTGCCAGCTAATCTCTTCCCCCATCCCCCCCATCCCTTCGGATGTTGGTGGATAGGAGGTATGACTTTAAGACCTGAAGGAACATCATCAATTGTGAGATTTCAGGTACTGCCAATAACCACTGCCTAAGCCTAAGTGGTCAGAGTAGGGAGAGCTAGAAGACCAGGGCAGTGAGACTTCCCACAGTTGCCTTCTCTCTTATTTCCTATTTCTCCTGCATGTAACTTGTTTGTACATATTTTGCTCATTGTCTCCCCTATCACATCGTAAGCTCCTTGAGGGCAAGACTCTTGTCTTTATTTTTATTTTTAATCCCCAGTGCTTAGCATTGTGCCTGGCACATAGTAGGTGTTTAATAAATGTTTCCTGACTGACCGAAGGAAAGGCAGGCAGCAGCCGCCACTGGATGAGGGTCCCAGTAGAAGAAGTCTCCGGAGCATCCAGTTTAACTGCTGCAGTCCCATTCCCTCTTCATCCCACCTCATCTTGGTGTGCCTTTCACCACAACCACTGAGATGGACACATAGCTCACACAGATTCATGTTTATTTTTAATTTCCAGAGCAAGTTCACAAGGTTACAGGAAGAGATGAGGGATATGGGGGATGGAGGGAGGCCCTTCTTCTAGCCCCATTGGATCTACTCATTTTCCCTGCCCTCAGGCCCTTCCCCTGCCTCAGTGACCATACCTCCCCCAAACCATTGCCAGAACAGTGGGGAGTAGGCTGGAGGGAGACAAGTGCGTCTCAGAAACAGCAAAGGCAGGCCCAGGGGAACCTGGCAAGCAGACCAGGTCTCTCAGAGCAGAGGAGGGCACGTGGCAAGCCCCTCTGCTGCTTGGGTCTTGGCACAGCTAAGCTCTTTTGTTGGCCCATTTGGCCATCTTGTTATTGATGGGTAGCTTGTAGAATCTGTCAGAGCGCATGTAGGCTGCGATCTTCTCCAGAGCCTCGGGTGGAACAAGGGGAAAAAAACCAGAGTCAAGACCCTAACCTCCACACAGAGTGCATGCTCCCTCAACACAGTAATCAACACGTCCTATTGAAACAGAGCTTTTCAGGCCACACAACAACACTCTAGAGTAGGTAGTGTGAGTATTATTCCCATTTTACAGTAAGACCGAGGCTCAAATATTCAGCCTCCAAGTCAGATCAGCTTTGTCCTTCACTGTTACCTCATCTCTCAAAAAAAAAAAAGGGGGAGGGGGGCAGAGCCAAGATGGCAGAGTAAAAGCAGTGACTTGCTTGAGCTCTCCCTCAAACCCCTCCAAATACCTATAAAAAATGGCTCTTAAAAAAAAAGAAAAAAAAAAGACTACCACATACCCTTACCTCCTCAATTTCAAAATCCCCCTAGAGTAACTCGCCTCCCCCCATCTTATTCGGACTACTGGTAGTCTACAGAACCCTAGTTTAGAGAAAGGGAACCTTTTGCACAGGTTACCTCCAGGGGCAAGAACAAGTATGGGCAATTGAGGACAAGGGCTGGCTCTCTTCCCCTCAGGGTCCCAGGCTGAATAACAAGAGGGAGCCTGGCATGGGAGGGCAGGAAAAGCTGGATCTTTACCTCAAAGCGGGCAAGGAAATCCTTCAAATTTGGGAATTCATCCAGGCACTTGGGTTCAAACATTCGGTTCTGGTCTAGGACATCATACATGAGGAAGTCCGCAAAAGTGATCTGAGGCGAAAAAATGGCACAGATTGAAAGGACCTGAAGTTCCTAGGAAACAAGGTCCCTCCCTTCCTCCCCCGGCTCCTACCTTTTCCCCTGCAAACCAGGTCCGCTTTCCCAGGAACTGGGAGAAGAGCTTCAGCTGCCCTGGGAGCTGCTCCAGGTAGCCAGGTTTCACTTTCTCCTGGATCAGAGGGAAATAAACAGTCACCACCCTCACCACATTTTCCTCTGGATCTCCTCTCAGGCACTAGGACCATGTGCCTCTCCTAAAACTGGCTTCCTTTGCATTCTCTGCCCTAAGGAGGAATGAGAACCTAAGTGTCTTGTCCTGTCCTGTCCTGTCTTTGATAGCAAATTGCCTTTTTCTATTACCACATGGCTACATTTTTTTTTTTCATCATGAAACCAATTATAGGATTATGGTAAGAACATTGCCTTGGGGTTACCTGAAGGAAGGATGATTTAGCAAAATGAATCTGGGGATGTGGGTGGTGCTCATTACTGGAATCAGGAAATAGCTTGGTTTACTTACTCTACAAAAGGAGCTGGGAACTTAAAAAAGTGTCCCTCAGACACACCATGGGCAAGTCACTTAAGTCACACGGGCAGCTATCATAGGTGGTATAGGGAAGAGTCCAAGACTTGGAGACAGGAAGATCTAGGTTTGAAACTATCTCAGGCACTTGCTGTGTGGCCAAGTCACTGCGGCACTCTCAGACTCAGCTTCTCCAAAGGTAAAATGGGGCTAATAACAGTACCTACCTCAGAGAGTCGTTATGAGGATCAAATGAGAGAATACGTAGGTTCCAACCCACTATCATGGTGCAGAAAATGTCTACCCCACATTCTTACCCACTCTACTTTAAAATGTACCCCACCTCCAGAGTAACTAATCTACCCCATCCCCTGAAGACTGCTAATGTGGGCTGGGGAGTGCTTCCAATAGGGGTTGGCATATAATAGGTGCTTAATAAATGCTCAATGACTTGGGATTCCCAGATTAGGAGAAAGGACGCCTTAAAATGCTATTATTATAACTGCTCTGGGTTTCGGACCCTTATTTATAAAATGAAGGTCTCTTATAAGGTCTCTTCCATCTATGATCCTATGATAGTATGGCCAGCCTGGAAGGTGCTGGCTTTAAAGGAAAAAAAAGACAGCTGATGATGAGGAGATGTGAATAAGCTGGGTCTCACAGGAGGACCTGGTTAGTGGGTATGAGTCAGGCAACTAAACTGGATAGGGGAAGAAAAAGTGGGAGAGGGGATGGGAAAGATGCTCATTGGCTAAAACCACTGGGACCTCCAGGGAAAGGGGCTGGAAGGTCAAATGACGTGACTGTTCCATTAGTGCAAAAAAGCCTGAATTCCATCCAAACTTTAAAAAAGTGTCTCAGCTTTATAAGACTTTCCCATGTTCCTTCTTTGAAACCTATGCCTTTCCTGTAGTTTAGAGCACTAAAAATCCTTAGATTCCCCCCCCAACCTCATCTACTCCCCCAATATTGTGTGCTTGTTTCCCAGATAATGGAAAAGTATCAATTTGTAGCCCCTTCCTCAGAGGATGTAAGGGAAGAATCCTGGTGGGACAATGGAGTTTTCTTGTAGGACCAAATGGGACGAGGACAATGAGCTGATTATTGGGTCACCTCCCCCCCAGAAGGTGTTCTCTCTCCACAGTAATGAGGGAGCTGAAGCTTGAGTGTGGGCCTGGATGTCTCAGAGTTACCTCAGAGTGATTTATCATCACAACACCCAAGAGTCACAATTCCTAGGTTAGGCCCTCAGGTTCGAAAGCCCCTGAAACACAGGGATCAGGGAGACAAATCCAGGAAGAAGGAAACCTTTGGGATCCATAGACCCTGCTTCCTGTTTTCACCCCTAGTCTCTCCCCCATTCCAGCCTATGTGGGAGAAACTCACGAAATCTGGGTTATAGGAGACCTGAACCAGCTTCATACGGAAGTCCATGGCCTGGTTCTCCAGCAAGTCCACACGAATTTTCTCTTCCTCGGTCTCACCACCTGCAGGTGGGCAGGAGGAAGACTCACCCTCACTATCCCAGCCTTGGAGACCATGGGACTTCCTTTACTACCCCTCTACCACAACTTACACATATTGTGCTTTCGGGCAATGTAACGCAAGATGGCATTGCTCTGGGTGAGCTTATGTTCTCCGTCAATCAGGTATGGCAGCTGGAAGAAAAATAGGGACAGGTCAGTCAAAGAGTCAACGACAGCACCCAGCTGCTCTACTCCCTTCTACTCCAGTGCCCTGAATCTCCACAGGGTCCCACCATGCCCCATCCAAGCCAAGGCAGAAAAAGACAAGAAGAGTTTGGAAGCACCTCCCCCGAGGCAGACACCTACGTTAGGGAAGTCCAGGCCCAGCTTGAACTTCACATCCAGCCATTGGCTTTTGTCATAGTCAGGAGCTGTGGGGAAGAAGAGGCAGTAACCCCAGACCTTCTCAAAATTCTGTCCCTTTCTCACTAAGATGCCACATGGGAAGGCTCTCTGGTCCTGCCTGAGGCCGAGTAATGAGAGAAGCCCAGGGCCCCACATACCCAGCCTGCTCTGCTTGGAAAGTATCTTGGGACTTAAAGGTATAATAACCTGGGAAAGATGAGCTAGACCATCTCAGTTTAAGGAATTACTAACCTCATCACCTATATTTCTGGTGCCTCCTCCCCCAACTTCTTCCTGTTGCTTTATAAAGGTAGAGGGCAGGATCATAGATTAGCATAGATCATAGATTTAGAAGTGGAAGGGGCAGGCCCCACAGTGCGCATACCAACGTTGGCAGAGGGCCAGTGGGGCCCAGTCATGAATTTGTACAGCTAGCCAGACCCCACTCCCCCCTCCACACATACATACAACCATCATCAGCTCTAGGGGAACCATTATCATTCCTAAAATGGTACTTTTCCATAAGAATTGAGGCTAGGTACCCCAGTCAAAAAGGAGTGACTCTAGACCAGGGGTGGGGAACCTGGGCCTCAAGGCTACATGTGGCCCTCTAGGTCCTTAAGTGCAGCCCTTTGACTGAATCCAAACTTCACAGTTTGTTCCGTAAAACTTGGACTTAGTCAAAAGGCCACACCCAAGGACCCAGAAGGCCACAGGTGGCCTGGAAGCTGTAGGTTTCCCACTCCTAGTAGACCCTCCTCACCAAGACTCCGAAAGAGAAGCTTCTAGGTCCAAGGAGGCAGGACAAAGGCAGAGGCTGGAACTTCACAGACCCAGATTTCTAATCCTGCCCTCTCGGTAGGAATCACAGATTAGAGTTGTCTTGCAAAGAGCCATTTTTAACTTGGGCACCTTTGCCAGTCTCCAATCATGGATGGCCTTTTTTCCCCTGGCCCCCTTGGGCGAGATCCAGAGCTCCCTCCTAACTACAGTGCAGGCAAGGGGCAGGTAGGGCCTGGCAGAGGCTGGCACATTTCACTGGGAGCTCCCTTCTCCCTTAACTCACCTTCCCCACAACGGTACAGTTTCTCCTCATAATTTGTATCGGTGTATTCCAGGAGCAGGCGGATGGCATGCGCCAGCTGTGGAGGAGGCAAACAGTCCGGGTAGGGAGTGGAGACTCCCTCTCAGTGATCATGTTTCCTCTCTTGGCACATCCCCCAACCCTCATTAGGCAGCTCTCATTTACCACTACTCTGAGGAATAAGTTTTGAGGGCCCTAACTTTTGTGGATATAGCAAAGGACCCCGACTCCCCCATGCTGCAGCATCTACATTCTCTCCTCCCTCTACTGGGACACAAGCTGAGCCAAAGACTATCGTATAAACAGCGAGCCCCTAAAGTCTTAGGGCAGTTTTAAGCTACTGAAAGTGTGGTAAAAGTCTGCGTAAAGGGAATGGTAGCAAATGGGGGCCGGGAAGTGCTGGAGGTTAACAGGGAGGGAGTGGAGGCAGGAGAGGAAATTAATTTCACTTGCAAAGAAAGTGGCTCTATGTAGAAAGGAGCCCGTTCAAGAAAAGGCCAAGGAAGCCAAACGGGATGGGGAGGGTAGAAATGCACTCGGTAAGAGAGGCCATCTGCTGCGCCCCCGTCTCCCCAGACCTTCCCCAATCCGATCTTGGCCCCCGAACCCCGAAACTGCATGCTGCAGGAGAGGGGCGGGGAAGTCCTCCCTACCTCCCTTGCAGGGCTGGAGCTTGGGGAAGTAGATGCCGGCCAGGTGGTGCAGCAGGCCGCTGCGCACACCCTCCTCAAGTTCCCCTCTTCCCCCAGACAAAGGGGGACCGGGGCTCAGCCGCGGGCCCCGGGGAAAATCCAGGCCTTTTGGTTCCCCCTCCCCTCTCCTCCCCCCAGGCTGGGAGAGCGCTCACCCCGCGGATGTCCCAGTAGCCGAAGATCATAGGCATTTTGTCAGCAGGGCAGATCTGGTAACTGAACTCGGGATGGACCGGGGGGCAATTTATCTCCAGCTCAAAGGGGGCAGGCCCAGCGGGAGGTGGGCAGATCTAGTCTCCTCCCTTCTCCATCCTCCGCCTCCCGCCCCAAGTTCCAGGCTTAGGCCGAGAACAGAGCTTGGGGACGGGGCAGTGTGTGGGCTAGGAGCTGCCCAAGTCCCGGATCCACTTAAATGCTTTGGAAACCCCGAGTTTCCTTCGCCGTGCCTAGAACGTGCGCCTCGGTGCAAATGTTTGTGCAAACCCTGACCTTGAGCCTCCAATCCTACCTGCTTGGGAGAAAGCTGCTCCCCGGGCGAGGATATCGTATCCTGCTTAAGACGTACGTGTTCAGCCCTAGAGTCCTGAGCTGGGAGAAATCGGGTCGGTCAGTCCACAAGCATGTATTAAGCGCTGTGTCTGTGCCAGGCACTACGCAAAGGGCTGGGGATGCAAAAAAAAAAAAAAAAAAAAAGGTTGGGCGGGGGAAGCCCCTTTAGGAGTTCACCTTCTAATAGAGGAGACAATGAGTAAAAAGCTATTAACGTACGAGGGTGTATATATAGTGTAAATGGGAGGGAGTCACAGAGAGAAGGCAATGGAAACCTTGTGCACGGATGGGGCTTGGCCTGCGTCTTGAAGGAAGAGGGGAGGTAAAGGCCGAGGGAACAAGCATTTCAGGAACCCGGACGCAGTCCATGAGAAGCCAAGGCATGGGGAGTTCAGTTGCAGTGTGGGAGGAACAGCCAGAAGGCCAGAATCACTAGATCGTGGCGTTCGAGGAGGAGAATAAGGTATAAAAAGCCTGGAAGGGTAGGAAGGGGCCAGGTAATGAAGGGTTTTGAAAACCAAAGGACTTTATTTATACTAGAGGTCATAAGGAACGACTGGAATTTACCAAGTAGGGGAGGGATGCCATCAGAGCTCGGTTTAGGAAAATCACTTTGGCAAGTGGGGTGGAGGATGGAGAGCGGAGACGCAATGAAGATGACCATAACCGAGCTATGCCTCCCTGAATGTTTCTCACCCAGAGCCTCGAAAAAGTTTGCCAAAAGATGCCGACATAGCTCCTGAGTAATTAATAATAACTGGCATTTATAGAGGGCTTTAAGATCTGCAAAGTACTTCATGTATATTATCTCATTTGATTTCCACAACAAGCCTGTAGGTTGTTAAAGCTATTATTCCCATTTTACAGAAGAGGATACTAAGGCTGAAAAAAAGTTAGGTGACTTATCCAGTGCCTAAGTTGAGATTCAAAGTCAGGCCTCCCTGATTCCTAAGTCTAGCATCTCCCATGGATATTATGGGAACAATACTGTCTCTCAGGTAGACAGAAGAAAGAAGGGCAGAAGGGTGAGGATGGAGCATTGGGGAACACCAACATTTAGGGGCAGTAGGAAGGAAAGGAGATAGTGAAGGAAAAGGAATATTCAGGGAAGCCAGAGGAGAACCCAGATAATACAGTGTCACGGAATACAATGAAAAAATTTCAAGAAAGTAGGATAGCAAGTACATTAGACATCTTTATAGTGCTTTACAATTTCCAGACTGCTTTAATTCACCAGACATTTATTAAACACCTGCTATGTTCAAGGTAAGTTTGAGTCATAGAATCATAGACCCACAGCTGGAAAGGACCTTAAAAGACATTTAGTCCAACTCTTTTATTCTACAAATGAAGGAATACATGACCCCGGGAAGCCGTGACTCAGGTAGTAAGCATCAGAGGCAGGATTTGAACCAGAGGTTCTTTCTATTGTACCACACTGCCTCTAAAATCTTTTCCAGTTTTAATGATGATGCTAGGTAGCATAATCCTTATTTTAAACATGAGCAAAGTAAGATAGTGTGGTTAAGTGATCTGTGTAAGGTTATACAAGGTTACCGCGTGGTTAATAAGTGGTAGAGTTAAGATTAGAATTCAGATTCCCTAAATATTTCATGTACATTAATCCAGCCAGACTGGACTTCCCTTGAACCGCCGTTTCCCTTCTCCATGCCTTTGCACTGGCTGTCTGCCATGCCTGAAATACGTTTCCTCCTCATCTTTGCCTCCCAGAATGCTTAATTCCCTTTGAGATTCATCTCCAACCCCACCTTCTTCATGAAGCCTTTCCTGATCCCTCCTGCTGCTAGTGCCTTCCCTCCCAAAACTAACATGTATTCATTGAGTGTGTGCATAGTGTATGTGTTTACATAGACATACATAATACAGATAAGTAGATAGGTAGATAGATAGATAGATAGATAGATAAATAGACAGACAGATAAATAGATAGAGTCCCTATTAGAATGTAAGTTCCTTAAGGGCTGAGGCTATCTCATTTTGTTTGTATCCCTAACTCTTAGCACAATGCCTGGGGCATAGTAGATACCCCATAATACTTGTGGATTGATTGATTAGTTCACTAGTTGACTAGTTCAGGACTCTTTTGAATGCCACAAGAAAGGATGACGAGGATAGAGGTTTAAATGATTTTTTGATCAGGAATTTTGATCAGGAATTCATTGATCCAGAGTGGGCTACAAGAAGTGTAAGTATATGGTTTCTATTTATTTATAATTGATGGACTAAAACAAACATTTCCATAACATAGTATAATTAAAAAAAAGATGATTGCATGCGAAACTACAAATCTATTATGTAAAACTTGCTATTCCTTTTAAATATGTAATAAATTTATCATGTAAATTTCTTTTGTTTCTTTTTTTCCCCTTTCCTCAACCCCAGAGATGGTTATCATTACACACAAATATGTATTTATATATGTAAAAATCATTCTATACATACTTCCATTTATCAGTTCTTTCTCTGCATGCAGGTAGCATCTTCCTTTATAGGTGATTTGTAATTAATTTGATTAATAATAGTAAAAATTACTTATTTGCTCAAAGTTGTTCTTAAAACAATGCTGCTGTTATTGCATACAGCGTTCTCTTGTTTCTGTTCATTTCACTCTTCCTTAATTTGTGCAAGTCTATCCATGCTTTTCACCGAGCTCATCATTTCTTATAGCACAATAATATTCTTTTTTTTTTTTTTTGCCTAGGCAATGGGGTTAAGTGACTTGCCCAGGGTCATACATCTAGTAAGTGTTATGTGTCTGAGGCCAGATTTGAACTCAGGTCCTCCTGAATCCAGGGCTGGTTGCTCTATCCACTGTGCCACCTAGCTGCCCCTACAGTAATATTCCATCACAGTCATATACCACAACTTGTTCAGCTGTTCCCCAATTGATCGGCATCCCCATAATTTCCATTTCTTTGCCACTACAAAGAGAGCTGCTAGAAATATTTTTGAACATATAGGTTCTTTCCTTTTTTCCCTAATCATGTTGGGAAACAGACCTAGTAGAGGATTGCTGGGTCAGAGGGTATAGGCAGTTTAATAACTCTTGGGGTATAATTCCAGATTGTTCTCCAAAATGGTTGGATCAGTTCACAATTCTACCAACAATGAATTAGTGTCCCAATTTTTCCACATTCCTTCCACCATTTGTTGTTTTCCCCCTTCAATCATTTTCGCCAATCTGATAGGTGTAAAATGATATCTCAAGGTTGTTTTAATTTGCATTTCTCTAATCAATAATGATTTAGAACATTTTTTTATATGACTACAAATTGTTTTGATTTCTTTATGTAACAACTGCCTATTCATATCCTTTGACCATTTATCAATTGGGGGATGATTTGCATTCTTACAGATTTTACAAAGTTCTTTATATATTTGAGATATGAGACCTCTATCTGAGAAACTCTATAAATTTCCCCCCCAAAATTTACTGCTTTCCTTCTGATCTTGGCTGTATTTGTTTTAGAAATAGATAAAAAAAACCCACTGGAACCCTGGCAGGGGTGTGCTGGAGCCAACTTCTATAAGCTCCTGAGACTAGTTAAATTTTTAGTGTGAGCATTTACACCTCAGAAATTGGCAAACACTAAAAATCAGGGCTTGATTTACTGTTTTGTTCATTGTCTAGACTTAAGAAAGAGATGGAGAAAATGTTAATAGCACATATATAATTTCAGTGTGTATGCTTTTTAGAAAGCTGATTGTTTAACATTTACCAGCAGACCCCTACTTGGAGATGATTGTGGGAGAAGACATTATGGGCAAGGATGAGGACTTCAGGTTAGAGGCAAGATGGAAGACCAAAACACGTGGCAGTTGGGAAACCATGGCTTGGGTTAGAGCCCCCAAGATAGGTCGGAAAGACTGAATAGTAATACTAGCATATATATGTTGTCAATCATTTACCAAAAGTTTAGTCCAAAGAAACAAACAGAATCAGTTTCCTCCTTTACCAAAGGCTTGCTCAATAAACAAACAGAATGGGGTTCACCTTAAACAAAGGTTTGATCAAGGAACAAACAGAATCAGGCTGTATATGTGCTTGTATGAGCTTATTTATTCTCACTGAGTCGGAGAATCTGCATGCATTGGAGTCAGAAAATAATTCTGAACTCAGAGGTAAATAATCTGAAGGAGACTGTTTATACACTTAGAGCAATCTCAACTCAGGATGCCTGTGTCAGCCAAAATTACAGTCTCCAAATGTGTTAACCATCATATAAGAAAGGAATCTTTTAATAAGATAGATTCTAAACAATAAGATAAATATCAAAGTGTCCATTGAAATTATAGATCCAGGATGTCTGTGTTTCTTCTATCATTAACACGACACACCATACCATACCATACCACACCATATCATGCCATACCATGCCATACCATACCGTAACACACCATAACATAACATGTGTCCAAGATAAGGAAAGTCCCATTATTCAAGATAGCGTCCGGTTCAAGGCATCTTGTCCTTGATAATCATAAACAGAAGAATGTTCCTGGTCAGCTTCATCAGGCCTTGTAGTTGCTGACATAGGAGGGGGCATTTTGAGTTCACTCAGAGAGCAAAACAAAGCATGTCTGTTATGCCAGAACATGCAAAGCATGTCTGTTAGGCCAGGGTACTTCTTCTAGTTGATTACCTCAGGTTTTGGTCCTTATTGGGGCTCAAATGATCTTAAATGATTTTAAATGATTATCAATGTATATATGTGTATATGCACACACACGTATATACATATACATATACACAAATCACTTAACCCTCTTTGCCTTAGTTTCTTCATCTGGAGAAGGAAATGGCAAACCACTCCAGTATCTTTGCCAAGAAATCCCCAAATGAGGTCATGAAGAGTCAGACATGACTGAAAACAACTGAACAACAGCAACATATACGTATATATAACACACACATACCAACATATATACATTTGTACATGTATGTACACCCATACACATCCCACCCCCATATATATGTTATACACACACACACATTATTATATATCATTTTAAGGTTTGTACATGTTTCCTTCATTTGATGCTCATGAGAATCCTGTGAGATAGGTGCTATATTATTAAACTCCTTTTACACATGAGGAAACTGAGTCTGAGGCTAAGTGACTTGACCAGGGGTTACACGGTTAATAAAGTCTCTGAGGTAGAATTTGAACTCAGGGCTTTCTGACTTCAATTCAGGCAGTATGTCTGATATGCCTCTTGGTTGCCTCAGAATCAGAAAGAGAGGAACAGAAAGCAATCATCTCTCTTTCTGTCCCACTGAGGTTTGGGGAGTAAGGAGCAAGAGTCTGTCATTCAGAAAGGAAGACTTTAACTTTACTTAAAACAAAGAGGGGAGAGAGAGAGAATGTGGGGAAAATATTGAGGAGCTAAATGCCAAAGTCCCAGCTGCACACATGACTCGTGGCTCCTTTAAAATTTATTCAAGCAGCTAGAAGCCTGTATCATCATCTTCCTTCCCCATTCCTTGCCCACATCCTTTTTTTATCTCCAATACGTGTAACCATTAGTCTGTTAGGGCTGTTTCTTAGATTGAGAAAAGACAATAAGTTTCTAGTAGTTCTTTGTGTTTCTGAGGTTTGACATTTTTGTGTAAGCTGTGATCTTCTGATTGTCTAACCATGTTTTTAAAGACTGGTCTTAGGTCCTTTAGCTTCGGCTATGTTGCATCTCAAATTCTACTCTTTCATCAGTGTCATTAGTCCCCGCCTTGGGCTTTGTGGGGTGCATGGGAATTTGGAATCAGAGGGCTGGATCTGAATTCTGGATCTGCCACTCACCACCCATGTGACCGTGGGCAAGTTCTCTGGGCCCCGGTGTCCTCCCCCGAAAAGAGGTGCTTGGGTTAGTTGATCTCCCCTAAGTTCCTTTCCAGCTTTAAATTCATGATTTTGTTGGCTTCCTTTTATTGATGCCTTCTGTTTTTAAATCACGATCATTTTTTAATATTATTCCTCACTTCCACTCTGTTGAGTCCTCCCTCGTTACAAAGATCAGTTTAGCAAAATAGTGACTGGGTCTGACTGAGTATCTGACAGTCTATACCTGGGGTTCTTCCCTCCTCTGCCAATAAGAGGGAGATGGGACTGATTCGCCTCTGTTATCTGGAGCCAAGGTTGTCGATTTGCTTTTTAAAAAAAGTTATTGATGCTCTTTGTTTTGAATATCATACTCATTTCTGGCTATACTCCTACTTCTTTTTTTTTTTTTGAGGGGGAGGAGGAAAACATTGACCTTGTGAAAAATGATTATTAAAAACCAATATCTTAGAGATTCAGAACTTCCCCCAGCCCCCTTCTTCCAAAATCCTCACTTTTAAATTCAGTTTTTCTTTAGAAGGACATTACTGATAATGAGATTGCATTGACTCTCCTTATCTTGGTCAGCTCTGACCCGAGCTGGCAAGTAATTTAGTCTAAGGTAGGAAAGCCCATTGCCTTCTACTCATCCTTGGGGGGAGACAGATTCTCTGGTCTAGATAGCCCAAATCCAGGTGGGCCAGCTGATAAAAGAAGTATTTCCTCTATCCAAAGGTGAAATGATAATGGAGTGACTTCAGTCCCCATTGAAAGGGTATATAAACTACGCACCCTGACCACAAAGGGAGCTCAATTCCAACCTGGTCCCCATGCATGGAGAGAAATAAACACTGATACAACCTAATTCTGTTTGTCTTTCTTAGACTGAACTCTGAAGGTTGACAACCTACTTTCAAAAAAGAGTGAATGGAAAAAAAAGTCTATTTCAGATTGAATAGGCTTATCAGCTCCTGTTAGGAAATTGGACTGGTCAATATTTTGCCCTGGGTCACTTAAATGAGTTACTTAAGCTCCTTAATTCTGACTTTTCCCATCTACAAAATAAGAGAGTTGAACTACTTTATCCTAAAACCTCTCCCTGTTCCGTGGAACCAGGATCAGGGGTATCTTCACAGACTTCTTGGTGGCACATTCTTGATCTGGGAATATTTTAGAAGCCCGTGTAAGGAGTAAGGACTGCAGATTCCCAGTTCTGACTCACCACTCTTAGATCCAGACTGTAAAGGGAATTCTTATACAAATCTTAAAAACACACCAGCCATTGGCCAGAAAGGTGCAGGGAATTTGCCTCTTTGGTGTCCTTGAGGATGCTGAAAAGGAAAGGTCCAGACCCAGTTGAGGTGATTAGGAGCACTGGTTTATTGGGATAAGTGGAGTCAGGGAAGAAGCAGGACAAAGGCTCAGGATTTGGGGGCTGGGCACAGATGAGAAGAAAACATAAATATGTAGGATTGAGGAATGGCTCTGGGCTTTAGTAAGAGGCAGGAATGAAGACTGTCACTTCTTGCCTTAACCAGAATGATGAAGGTGCTCAATTTGATGTCATGTAGTGATGAGTCAAAGGGGATGGGACTGTGTACACAGGAAAGGAAGGTGTGGTTGGGCCCTAGAGAGCAGGTCGAGGAGCAAGGAGTCTCAGGTGCAAAGAAGCAGATTTAGGCTGATGTCAGGAAGAGCTTTCTCACAAAAAGCAGAGGAAGCTGCCTTGAGAGGCAGTAGGCCCCCCATCATGCCGGCCAGAGGACCAGAGGGTGGGGCACGTTGTAGAAGGCATTCTTCTTTAGGCATAGGCTGGATTACACAGCCCCTGAGGTCTTTTCTGACTCTGAAATTCTAGGGGTTTTGTAACCTTCTCTCCTTTCTTCTCACGGGTAAAGTCCACAACACAGCGGGTAGATTCCAGAGGAGAAGAATGGATGTACAGACGTGGGAAAAGGGAGCGGGATGACTGAGGCCCTCCAATCCGCTGCTCCACTTGGTCCTTAGCATCCGTCTGGAAAGGAAAGGGAATGTGAAGAAGGAGCCCTCATGGTGATACTTCTATGGGTGGTCACATAGCTATGGTGTGGGGTGAGTTTGTGTGTGTGTGTGTGCACCTGATGTTACACAGTTGTATCCAGTGTTACTCTCAGAGCCTGTACCACCAATCCCCACTTCCCACCGAAGATCCCCAGGTTTTATGGTTGGGGCTGACCCCCACAGGAGAACAATCTTACGCTGGCACAGGGGCACACATAATCATACTCCTATATGCATATTCTCATAGCAATAGACCTAGGTCCCATCCTCCAAGGGCTAGCTCACTGTTTTCCTGAGGGTCTTGTCTTGCTGGATTGGTGGGGATTGTGATGGACTGGGAGCTTACACAGGGGTCTGGGTTCGCAGTTATCCAAGATGAGTAGCTGACCTCTAGTACCCAACCTTGTGCCATTTTCAGTACAGTTCATGGCTACTATGAAACTTATGCAGGACTCATGTTTGTGTGAATATTTAGAAGGGCCTGGAGCTGAAGGGTAAAGGTGGGAGAAAGCTTCCAGGGTAAGGGCCAAGGTAATGGATGGGACAGGGGTGTGTATCTCTACCTGATGGCCAAGTGCATGGGGCTCCCTAGCCTGGGACAATCTCTCCCCAAGGTCAGTGGAGGTAGGAGAATAGGGCTTCAGAGTTCTGGTGTCCCTACTTCAGTCTTCTCAGTACCTGGGAGACTCGGAGTGGGTGGGAGGCCTCTATCTTCTGCCTCATTACTTCCCTCCACCTCTCTGTGTAATGATGGGACTCAAGAAAAGGGCAGAGAGAAGCCTAAGGGTTGGAGGCCCTTAGTGGGAGGGCCTGAGTTATTGATGATTTCCAAAGTCCCTCTAATTTTAAAATTTCAGAAACCTTTGTGCCTGTCCTACAGCTGGGAACCTGGCTTCTTCCCCCTTGCCAACAGCTCAGCAGGGCAGGCAGATGAGGTTCCGAATGTCTCAGTTGTTACACTGTGGGGGCAGGGGGCACCAGCTGAGGAAGGGTGAGGATGTATGCAGCAAGAGATAGCTTGTTCCAGCTCTGAGAACACCATCTGCTTGTCTCCCAGGAGGACATTACTTAGTGTCCTTGATGAACAATGATGCCCCATTCAAGGAAGCAGAGATTCAGGAAGGGAGGGCCAGGGCCAGAGAGGAAGAAAGTCAGAAAGAAAGATAGGTGGGAGAGAGGGAGAGGGAGAGGGAGAGGTGGCGGAGGAAGGGAGAGCAGTCATAAGATTCTAGATTCTAGCTAGAAAGCACCTGAGTGGTCATTTGAGTCCAACACTATCATTTTACAAATGAAGGAAACTGAGGCACAGAGCTGTTATAACTAGGAAGTGGAAGAACTAGGATTTGAACCCAGGTTATCTGACTCTAAAACCAATGCTTTGCTCTACAACCACAGTGACTCCCAGTGCTTTAGGGATTCAGGCTCCAAGTGACCAGCCCAATACCATTTTCTCCAGGTCGGTGAAAGAACTGTCCCCCTTGTACCTAATTCTTGAGGAGATAGTTTCCTAGAGGGAGGTAGAGTCATGGGCCTGTAATGGATGTGAATGGGATCAGGGGAGCAGGCCTGGGTTGTGGCTAGGCGGTGGACCCTGGGTCACTCAAAGCACAAACCCACTCACAAAGCCATCTATATCCTCTTTCCCTGGCATTCTACCTCTTTTCTCTCCACCAATAAGCAGATAGAGAAATAGGCAGACAGACCCATACTCATACACACATACAAACACACAGGTTAATAGCCTGTAGCAGCCAGAGGGTTTGACCCAGTAGAGTAGAAATCTGGTCAAGACTTGTATGTCATAGAAATCTGGAGAACCTGGGCTGAGGCCTTGGGTAAGGGACACCTTATGTAAGGTCCTGTTCTTGTGCTCCTATTCCTTTCTTTAGGCATGAGGGGCTTCCTCCCTGCCCCACCCCCTAACCCTCTGCAATGCTGAGCTCTTGCTTACCTTGACTGGCTCAAAATGGGTGATTTCGGGGAGCTGCCAGCCATCATAAAAAGTGGGTGTATAGGCTGGAGGTACAGGTTCGTATTCTGGCCAAGAATCCCTGCAGACAGAGGCTGATCTTAGTGTTCATGCTACCAAACTGGCCTCACACTAGAGGGTCTTTGGGAAGATGTCAGTTCCATTTTTAAAGGGGGACCCAGAACACCCCCCCTACACCCCCCCCAGAACAGAGAAATGCATTGAAGACGCACGACAAAGCACCAGGGGAGAATCAACAAATAGGGAGAGATGATGGGGTACAGTGGAAAGAATTCTGGATTTGGAGTGGGGGGATCCAAGTCTGAGTCCCATCCCCTGCATTTGCTGCCTGTATGACCATGGGCTAGTTGCTGAAAATCTCTGGACCTCAGTTTCCTCCTCTATAAAATGAAGGACTCAGTTTAGATCAAGAGTTCTCTACTTTTTTTGTGTGTCCTGGCCTCTGTTGGCAGTCTGGCAAAACCTACGAACCCCTTCTCAGAAGAATGCTTTTAAACACACAAAATAAAATACATAAGATTATGAAGGAAACCAATGATATTGAAAAATTGTCAAAATATGAAAAAAACCAAACCCAAGTTCACGGACTCTAGACTTAAGAACCCCTGGGTCATCTACGAGGTTCCTTCCAACTCCAAATCTGTGATTCCATATAAACAAAGAGGTTTGTTTCTAAGGCAATATTTGCCTATAATCTATGCATTTCTTTTTTAGTTTTGGAGGAAATTGGGGTTAAGTGACTTGCCTAGGGTCACACAGCTAGTAAGCGTCATTTAAACTCAGGTCCTCCTGACTCCAGGGCCCATATTCTATCCAATCTATTCATTTCTAAATGCCTTCCTTACTGTGTCAGATTATGTATTACTCCTAGTTTCTACAAGAGAAAGATGGCAACATTTTCATCCTTGTTTCTGAAATAAGATATTGTGAAGATGGATATTTCTACATGCCTCCTCCACATACCCAGCAAAAAGTTATCCTAAGTCTCACTTTGTACCTGATTCTTGGAGAAAAAGTTTGAAACATTTCTGCCCTTGGAGAGGGTTGGAGGGGGTGGGGTGGGGTGAGAGAAAGTGGTGCTAGCCAATGTCCAGGATCCCTTTTCAGCTTTGAGATTCTATGATTCTAGCAAGATAAGATTTAGGTTCCTATGTAAGTTCTCCGGGGAGGAATTTGGGGGTAACAGTGTGGTGCATTATGGGAGAACGAGTCAGGAGAACTGGCTGCCACTAATTAAAAGTATAGTTTCATTTCTGTGGACCTGTGTTTCTTAATCTGAAAAAGAGGACTGGGAGGTGCCCTAAATTATGCCTAAAGTTCTGTCCAGGTCGAAAATTCTACAGCGTTATGGTCAGAATGGAATGACTGGGCCCCGATCTCACCGTGTTACGGTCCAAGCAGTTCCAAGTTTCTTCCAATAATTAATGTGGTTTTCTTTCAGGTTTGTGTTCAGCAGTTTTATGGCCTTGTCTGTCAGCAGGGGACAGTTTACCAGTCTTGGTAGTGTTTTGTAGTTAGGGCAATAATAAATGACCTAGGGGATGGAAGAAGGTGTGGGAGAAAGCATTAGAAATACCATCTCCCCCCATGCCCACCGAATTAGATTTCCTCGAGTTTGTCCCTGTTTTAAAGGCCTGTGCTTGCATATGGGTGGGGAGTTAGCATGCTTTTAGGTTTAGTGGGCACAAGCGTGAGAAGGTCTGCCTTCCATGGGTCTGAGTCTGTTTCCTCCTTTGTAAGGTGAGGCGGTCACTCTCTCTACAGCTGCCTCATCAGGCCATTGTAAGTAAGGCACTATATAAACGCAAGGTATTCCTATGTGTAAGCATGTCGAGAGGTTCTTGCTTCCCATTTTCTACCAGCCTGTGACCACTTTCTTCCTGGGTCTACCCATGAATCCTGTTCACCTTATCAAAGTCCTCTCTCACTTTTAGGGGTTCTTAGGATCAAAGACAATGACTTGGTTCTGTAACTCTGTCCAGCAGTGTGGATCATATTTTTTTTTTCCCCAACCAAGAATTGGTGTGACAAAGGATACTCCCTTTGCAAAGATTCCTTAAAATGACAATTTCTTTTCTCAAAATCAACATTGTCCTGGAAGGCTGAAGGTGTCCAGGCAAGAAGCAGGAGAGCATGGAGAGGGATAGTATTCTCTCTGCCCTTGACCTCCATCCTCTGCCTTTGACCTCCATCTTCTACCCTTGCTCATCATCTTCTAGCCCCAACTGCTCAGATTTGTTCATATTAACTTTCTGTCCTCTTTTCTTGGACTTCAGTCCTTCTCCCACCTCCTTCTATCACACTCACTGCCCACAGCCTGCCCCCCATCTTCCTACTCACGAATTCCAGAGACTGAAAGAGGTTGAAGACTAATTCTCTGACAATTGACTCTTCCAGGCAGCTGCTTATCTTCCCCTGGGGACACAAAAAGGTATTTTCCCCCCCTTCCACCTATAGCCAAATACTCCAGAGAGGGAATGGAGTAATTTGAGCACCATTCTCTATTTGTGAATGGCTAACTCACTGAAAACCCAGCCAACAGAGAGGGGAACATAGGGGTACTCTGGATGACTTTGGAGTAGAAAGGGCTAAGAGGGAGAAGTTAATTTTGGAAAGAGGGTTAGGACTCATAATGGAGGTGAAGGTTGAGATGGAGTTGGATTTGGAAGGGGGAGGGTTAGGCCTCATAATGGGGATGGAGGTTGAGATGGAGTTGGATTTGGAAGGGAGGAGCCTGGAGGAGAAGGTGGCCTCCAGGACTCTTCCCACCAAGGGCTGACCTACCAAGAGGTTGAAGGCATACTTGATCTTCTGGAAGTAGTCTATGTACTGGGGGGCTGGGAGCCATACTGTGAGTGGAGAGGTAATAAGTGATAGATCACACAGACCAGTTCCCAGGCACCCTTTTCCCCATTTCTGACTATACATTTCTCACCTCTAAACCCTTACATTCAGTCCACCCTTCTGTGCCTGCCTTGAAGACTTATTGTGAGAAACAAATAAAATCATGCATGCAAAAGGCTTTACATATCTGAAAGTGTTCTATAATTTCCAGTGATAATTACCATTCCTAAGTGCCCCCACCAACCGAGACCTCAGTGCTCACCCTTTGACTCTTTTTCCTTGTTGACTTTTTCTTTCACCTTTTCCACAAACGTAATGATATCATCCTTGACATGAATCAGAATCTCCTGTACCCAGGGACAAGCCCACTAGATGAGAGCCCTTGAATTTGAACAGCTACTTCATCCCAGCCCTGCCCTTTGCCTCCAGGATCTTCCCAGTCTTGGAAACTTCCAATTTGGCTCCCCAACCAGCCCTGGTTCAACCTAAGGTCAATCAATGCCTTTCCATGACTTCCCAGCCTAAACCCCTGTTGCATTCCCAGGAAAGGAGGAAAAGGTCCCAGGTGAACTAGAGTCCTTTCTTCATTATCCTCCCTTACTCTACCCTTTCCAGTTAGTTTGTCCCAATTTTGAGAATCCTCCTTTGGGTTGTTACCATATCTCTAGTTGGGTACTGGTTCTCTCTCGGATAGGTAGTCTTAATCATCTGGTGCTCAGTATTTTTATTCATGTTGAAAGATTGGTGCCTGCAAAGCTCAGAGTCCATAGAGGTGGTCACCAAAGTACTGGCACAGTTCTGGTTCCAAGCAGGGTGCTGAAACACAGGAAGCTTTAAAACACTACCTTCCCCTTGTTCCTGGATTATTATTATTATTATTATTCTCATTTTACAGTTGAGGAAACTGAGGCAGACAGAGACTTGTCCAGGGTCACACAATTTCTGAGGCAGGATTTGAACACAGGTCTTCCTGACTCCAAGCCCAGCTTACTATTCACTATGCCACCTAGCAGCCCCTATTTGGTTCAGGCTCAGTATAAACTGAGATTACTTCCATATAGTTTTCTCTTGTTATTTAACATTTCATTCGAGTGATCTGAGCTGAGGCTAGGTTAAATCATTTGCCCAAAGTTGCACAGCTTGGTCAGTGACCAAGCTGGACATCAAGCCCGCACTCTTCTGCACAATCTCCTTTGTACCACACTTCAGAATTAGGGGAATGTGTTAGATATAGGGCAGAAAGAGGAAGAAGGAGAGGGACTAGAGTACAGCTTATGAAGCAGGAAAGTGTAAAGAGTTATTAGAAGTTGGTTGGGGGGCAGCTAGGTGATGCAGTGGATAGAGCACTGGCTTTGGAGTCAGGAGGACCTGAGTTCAAATCTGGTCTCAGACACTTAACACTTACTAGCTTTGTGACCTTGGGCAAGCCGCCTACCCCGATTGCCTTGGGGGAAGAGAGAGAGAGAGAGAGAGAGAGAGAGAGAGAGAGAGAGAGAGAGAGAGAGAGAGAGAGAGTTGGTGGAGAAACCAAGATACTCATTTGTGAAATGTTCAATAAAATAGAAGACTGTTCTTAGTTCAAAATGCAGTTGAGAGGTCAAGACCACCTAGTCCAAACCTCTCATTTGTTTGGATTAGATGGCCTCTTAGGTGTCTTCCAATCCTAGGACTCCCACAATGCTTTCACTACCTTTCATCCATTCCAGGCATGAATCTCTTACCCTGGAAACCTCATATGCATTCCACCTTGCCCACGCACCTCACCCCACCTCTACTTTTTCCTGACTCCCCCTTTTGCACTGTGCTCTATGGAATGTCCTCCCCATTCTGCCCTCCTCCCACTTATCCCAAAGTTATAACCCTTTCTTCCCTCTATATCCTGGTTCTAAATAAAAACAGGTTCTTCCTGGATTTCCAGTACCAGCTCTCCTGCCCTTTTCCTATTCAAACCTCCCTTAAAAGCTTAATTTTCAGTCATTCCCCACAGTTCAATTCAGGGTGGTGCCACCCTGCTCCTCCTGTAACTTCTGACCCACTCTGGCTTTGATTTCATTACTCAAATGAGGAAACTGCTGTCTCAAAAGGCACCAGAAGATTTCACACCAAATCCAATAATCTTTTCTCATTTTTGGTTCTTTTTGATCTCTCTGGGACATTTCCAGTCCAGTCCAACAAAACATTTATTAAGTTTCTACTATGTACAAGGCACTATGCCATGCCCCGGGGGGGGGGGCAAAAGGAAAACAAAAATCCAGTGCCTGCTCTCAAGGAGTTTGCATTCAATTTACAATTTGGCAGCATGCTTCCTTCATCTATTCTGAAATTTTACTTTTCCAGTTTTCCTCCAATTTTACCAACTGTCTCCTTTCTATCCTCCTTGTTGGTCTCTCTCCTCCTCCTTCAACTCCCTGCCTGGTAATATCTCAAATTTCTGTGCCTAGTCACAGGCTGAGACCCTTTCTATGTTCCTTTTGGGAGTATACCCATTACTAGAACTGCAACTCTCAGTTCTATGATGAGACTTGCAAAACTGCATCTCTATCTTTGACCTCCCAACTGCATTTTCAACTAGGAAAAGATAATTCCTGTTTAAAAGGCCTGTTTTTTTTTTAAATTTACTTTTTTCCAACTACATGTAAAACTTTTTAACATTTGTTTTTAAAAATTTTGAGTGCCAAGGTCTCTCCCTCCCACTACCTCCCACCCCTATTGAGAAGGTAAGCAATTTGATATAGGTTATACATATGCAGTCATGCAAAACTTATTTCCCACATTAATGAGGTTGTGAAAGAAAACATAGACCAAAAAAACAAAACCAAAAATAAATAAAGGTAAAAAAGTATGCATTCAGATTCCATCAGTTCATTCTCTGGAAGTGGATAGCATTTTTTCATAGAGTCCTTTGGAATTGTCTTAGATACTGTATCACTAAGAATAGCTAAGGCATTAACAATTTTTCATTGTATGATATTGCTGTTACTGTGTACAAGGTTCTCCTGGCTCTGCTCACTTCACTTTGCATCAGTTCATGTATTTCATGACAATCATGTACCCCAACTTGTTCAGTCACTCCCCAATAGATGGGCATCCCCTCAATTTCCAATTTTTTGCCACCACAAAAAGAGCTGATAGAAATATTTTTGTACATATAGGCCCTTCCCTCCTCAACCCTCCCTTTTTAAAAAATCTCTTTGGGCTACAGATTCAGGAGTACTATTGCTGGGTCAAAGAGTATGGATGGTTTTATATCCTTTTGGGCATAGTTCCAAATTGCTCTCTGGAATGGTTGGGTCAGTTCACAACTCCATCAACAATGCATTAGTGTTCCAGTTTTCCCACACCCCCTCCAACATTTATTATTTTCCTTTTCTATCACATTAGTCAATTTGATAGGTGTGAGGTGGTACCTCAGAGTTGCTTTAATTTGCATTTCTCTAATCAATAGTGATTTAGAACATTTTTTTCATATGACTACAGATAGCTTTGATTTCTTCATCTGAAAACTGCCTAGTCATATCCTTTGACCATTTATCAATTGGGGAATGACTTGTCTTATAAATTTGACTTGGTTCTCTATATGTTTGAGAAAGGAGGAAAGGCCTAGATACTTGTTCCAACTCTGCCACTAACTAGCTGTGTGACCTTTTACACAGGTCAAGGGGCCCCTGGGGCCCTTGATTTCCTCATCTATGACATATTAGATAATCTTGAAAATCTCTTTAGACTCCTAAGATTCAGTAATTCCATCATTCTATTGGTTGTTCAAACTATAATCATGATATTCACCCCTAAACTGATTTCCCAAATAAGTCTACTTTTATTGCTGTGACTGCCATTCTCACAGGTTTTCAGGCTAGAAACTCTGCCGCCATCTTTGACACCTTCCTCTCCTTCATCCTCTATGTACAATCTGCGACCAAGTCCTGTCATTTTTTCTGTGTTTGGCTCTTTGATTCCCTCTTCTTCCCTCTCATGGCCATCACCCTAGTGCATGCAGATTCTCGTGATTTCATCTCCAGATTATCATAACAGCCTCCTAATCTATCCCTTTGCTCCTAATTTCTCCTTCTTCATTTTATCCTAAATACTTGCTTCAAATTAATCTCCCTAAACTTGTCATGACATCACTAACCAATTTAGAAGCCTATAATATATTCATTGTAACTTCTTTATCAAGTCTCAGCTCCTTTGCCTCCTGTCATCTAGAGAAGACCTGCCACCCCACCTATTTAACCTTATTTTCCATTGTTTAGGGAAGGGGAAAGAATATTATTAAGTGCCTACTATGTGTCAGACACTGTGCTAAGCACTTTACAAAGATCATCTCCACAACAACTCTGAGATGTAGGCGCGATTATCATCCCCATTTTACAGTTGAGGAAACTGAGGCAGACATAGGTTAAGTGACTTGCCCAGGCTCACACAGCTAGTAAGTGTCTGAAACTGGATTTGAACTCAGATCTTCCTCACTCCAAACCTAGCACCTGATCCACTGGGCCACCTGGGTCCCTGGATATTTACCTACATGCACTCTCAATTCCAGCCAGGAAGGTTACCTCCCTGCTTCTTAAACCTCAGTGTTCTTTCCCATCTCTGTACCTATGTTTATGCTGTTCCTCCTACACCCTCTCCTTCCTTACGTTGACCTAAAGCCTATCCATTTGTTAAATCACAGTCCAAACTCTGACTCCTCCATGAGAGCTCTTCTGTTACTGCCCTAGCTCACACTGATCTCTCTCTCTCTTTTCTCTTCTTTCTCTCTCTTCTCTTCTTTCTGTCTCCCTCTCCCTCCCTCCTTCTCTTTTTCCCCCTCCCTCTCTCTCTCTCTCTCTCTCTCTCTCTCTCTCTCTCTCTCTCTCTCTCTCTCTCTCTCTCTCTCCCCCTGTCTCTCCCCACCACTGCACTTCCCCTTGGTTTTTCAGTCTTTAATTGTTCTTGAATCACTTTTAGTCTGTCAATGTGATTTCCCAGTTGTATTGTAAGCTCCTTGGAGACAGGGACTTCTCTTGCATTCTTAGCCCAGGGCTGTGATCTGGTATTCACCGAATACTTGTTGATTAATTGAATTGAAAGCCTGACTGGGAACACTGGGATAAGGCATAGGGCATAGTCGACATGTACAGGTTGGAAGAGATGACTTTTATGGTCTTGTCCAAGTCTAAGATTCTGTGATTTGGGGGAATAATTACCTTCATATTATTTACTTTGATTTCTTTGTGGTAGTTCAGGGATGTGTTGTTAGAGCACCCAAAATGAATACAAAGGGAGACATGATCAGAAACTGGGAGAGGTGGGGACTGGGAGAGGGGCCAGAGCGTAGGGAGAAGGGGATGGAGGAACAGGCTGGTACTGGCTGAGGGCAGAGGGGGCCCAGTAAGGAGAGGAGTGCAAGGGAGAAAGGGGGAACAGAAAAGATGGCTGGCAAGAGGAAAAGAAAAAATAGGGCTCTGGGCGGCAGGAGGGGTTTCGGGGGAGGTAGAAGCCAGGCCTGGAGACTCTGGCACATTGTAGTATTTACTGATGTGTGTTATCATAATTCCTCTTTTGTGCTGGTTGTGAGAACCTGAAACCAAGAGAAAAGTCATGTCTTGCCCTTTCTGCTCAGGCCCTGGGAGCTCTAAGCCTCCTGTGACCTCTCAGCTCCCTGCCCCTTACCCCTTGAGTCCTTTCCACAGAACCCCTCACCTCTCTTCTCATGGGCCAGAGAGCAGAAAGTAATAAGCCAAGGCTTGGAGGGTAAGGGTGAAGGGTAAGGGCCAGGAGGTCAAGGACACTGGTAGGGAAAAAATATAAGGAGATAGAATTCCTAGATAGAATTCCTTTTGTTTTCAAAATTCATTCAAGAACTCTTCAACTCCCTTTGATGAGTCCATTTGGGACAGGAACCGTGTAGCCAGGATGGATATATTAGAGATTAAAATTCTAAGTCATTAACCTTGGCCTAGAGTCAACAGTGTGCAGGTGACACTGTTTAACAATAGTTTACCAAATACACACACACAATATATAGATATACACATGTAGATATACATATACACATCTATATACACACATGCATAAACACACAACACACATACATAATACATGTATGTATACATACAGGTTTACACACATACATGTATGTATATACATACTCACACATGCACACACACACACATACCCTCAACACACTTTTAAGTTTAATCTTGATTAACATTTTCTCCATCACTTTCCTAAGTCTAGAGACAATCAGCAAAACAATAAATCAAACTCTGATTTGCAGTTTGCTCATTACAGAGGTGTAAATGCTACATTAAAAATTTAACAGTAGGTTCTTCTGATCAGGCTCAAGCTAGCGGCAGCACACCCCCACTTAAAGTCCAGATTTTACAGTCTAAGAATCAGTGATTAATGAGCTGATTGTGATTAAGGAGGTCATGAAATTCAGAAGCGTTGGGGAAGGGGTACAGCAGGCTTGGGGACTAAGGCATTGAAGTTATTTTTTAATCTGGATAATGGAGATTCAATGGTGGACTTCTCAGAGGGAAAGAACCTGAAGGGGTATGAGTGAGTGAGTGGGTGTGTGTGAGTATGGGTGTGTGTAGGAATGTGTGTGGCCTCGTCATGGCATAGAGGTGGCCCTGAGTTCTCAAAGGACTTGAGCAGAGCTCAAGCTTGGTTGGGTCATACCAAGCTGGAAAGACTTGGTATATTGATAGGTTCCATAACGGACCAAGACCCAGTCTAGCTAAGTTTAGAGAGGTTCATCATCAGGTCAGCCAAAGGGGGATGACTTTTTTGGCCCCAACAATTCTTGAAGACAACTACAAAGTCATAGGGAAGTTCCAATCTAGGATGGCTGAGGAAATGCCCACATGACAAAGATTCTAGATAGATCCTAGTCAGATCACTGACAGATCCTAACATTATTGAGAGATAGAGCAAGCAGAAACAAGGAGAGAAGTCTTTGGACTTCATTCCCCATGATTCTTGGGGCACAGAGATCTTGCTCATTGAAAGAAAGTCCCTGGACCCCATGTCCCAGCAGCTGTGTGTGCCTGAGCACAGAGAGGTTGCGAACTGAGGTGAGGACTCTGAAGTGTGAAGCCAGATGCCATGGGTTCAAACCCCACCTAGGATACTTAATTATGTATGACCTTGGGCAAGTCCCTGAAATGAGTTTCCTGATCTAGAAAATGAGGGGGTTGAATTAGATGTCCTCTGAGGTCCCTTCCTGCTCTAGATCTGTGATCCGATAACTTGGATTGACAGGGACTCTTCTGAAAGGTGGGAGGTTTAATAAGGGAATGTTCACAGGGCTGGGAAGAGGGTGAGCAGAGATTAAGAGAACAAGTTGTTTCTGCAGTCAGAATGAGGAAGAATAGGGCCTGTGGGGCCTGAGATTGCCATAGTAGACTTGAACCCAGGAATTCTGGAAGAATTCCGACAACCCTTGAGCCATCAGAGGTTTTAGCAGCTGTTTGGATGCTAGGGCAAGAGAAAGATAGGCAGAGCTGTAACCAAAGCCTTGGACATTGAACCCTAAGATTCTTTCTCCAGTGGGTAATTAAATTTCAAGATTATTCCTTCTCCTCATGTGCTAGGAGATTAAAGGAGGATGAAATCATAATCTCTCAGGAACCTGTAAGAGCTGCACCCCTTTGAGTATGGACTTGTGGTCATAGGATTGTAGATTTAGAGCTGGAAAGGACCTTATGGGCTAACGAATCCGACCCTGTCATTTTACAGATGAAGAAACTGAGGCACACAGAAGTTAAGTGACTTGATCAGGGTCACTCGGCAAGTAAGTGTCTGAGGTGGGATTTGAACTCAGGTCTTCCTGAATCAAGTCTAGCACCCTGTGATGAGAATGATTCTGCTGCTTGATTTTTCCTATTATGTCTCAGTTAAAGGTTTCGCTATTTGATTTAAAAGCCATACATGATCTGTGTATAGAATGTATACTAGAATGGGGGCTCCTCCTTTATTTGCATGATTATGATCGTCTAAGACACTCCCCACTGAATCCTGGTGGTTAGGAGTTATTGAACACAGTTGGGCCCCTGTTACACAGTAATTTAAAAATCAGAGAGTGGAGGAAGGAAAATGCAGGTCCCTATTTCTTGTCTGGGGGGCTGGATTGTTCAGTCCAAGCCAAAGACCGTTAGGAGCTCAGAACCCCCTTTCTTCTGTTATGGTGCTTCTGAATCTGATATCTGTGGAACTTGGTTTTTATTTAAATTTTTTTTTTTGGATTTCACTATAATTGGGGTGCCTTGGAATCCTATGTATTTTATTGTATACATTTAAAAATCTTCTGAGAAGGCTTCCATAGGCTCCCCCAGGCTTCCAAGAGATAAAGCCCCCCCTACTCTAGTAGATGGAAGGCAGCTAATGTAGGTACTTAATAAATGCTATTGTTGAGTGACTGGCTCCCTTTTTCCTCACTCCTCCCCTAGTGATCCTTCCTCCCTGAGACGTGTCAGGGTGACTAGAAAGTCTTGAGGGAGAAGAGATAGGGCTCTGGGCCAGCATTTGCTTCTCCTTCCTCTCCCTCCCCACTTTGTGGGCCAGGCATCCCTAGTGACCTGCCTCCTTCATCACAGATGTTTTATCTAAACATAGAAAGATGCTAGGATGGATAGAGGACTAGTCTCAGAGTAAGGAAGACTTGAATTCAAGCCCGGCTTCTGATACTTGCTGGCTGTGTGACCCTGGGCAAATCACTTAACCTTTCATTACCCTCAGAGAACTCTCTAAAGCTCGAAATTGTAGAGTATGTGCTGATCTGCATTGGTAGAGTTTTATTATACTATTATATTAATTAATATTATAATTAACTAATTGTATTAATATAGCAATAATTATATTACTATATTCTGCTAATACTTATATTGATATACATTGATTATTATATATTATAATAATTAATAATTTTAGCTTTCTCTTTGGGTGCTCCTTATACGAATAAAATCTCAGGTTGAGTCTAAAAAACAAATATAGAGCAGCAGCTATGAAACAGGTGTTGATAAAGATCCCAAGAACCTATGAACAGACAAGTGAATGGGGGACTCCTTCATCACCTGGTAAAGCCTTCTGAGCTCATATTGGCCTGATCAGCCTCAGTCTGATGTGCTGTACCTCGACTCCAATATGGTGATGTTGTTTTGGTCCTCTTCAAGAACAAAAGACAACAATCAGCTTGTAACCCTGGTAAATGATTGTTCCACGGAGGTGGCAAAGGATTGGGGAAAAAGGGAGTTGGAGAAGGAGTCAAGCTCCTTTCTCCCTCTTTCTCTTTCCTTTCTCCCATTCTCTCTACCTTCTTTCTTCTCCTCTCTCTCTTCCTTTCCCCCTTCTCTCCTTCCTTCTTTCCTTTTTCTTCTCTTCACCTGTCCGTCAATCTCTCTGTCACAGAAACACTAAAGAACGAATCTTCCAACCCAAATCCTTACCCACTCAAAGCCTCCAGCCCTGATAAACCAAGGCCTCTCTTCAGGCTGATATCTTGACTTTTATCTAGAAAAAAGTCTGAGGGACCTAGAGTCAGTCCTTGCCATCAAGCCAATCTGAACCCTGATGTACCGTCCCAAAGCCTAGCAAATTGGAAATGTCCCCCATAGCTAAATGGGTAGTGCCTACTATGTGGCCAGTTCAAATTTATCTTTTAGAGTTAAGGTTCCCCTAGTGGGGCTGTCTCCCTCAGCAGAAGGCCAGGGATCCCTGGTGTCTGGGGTGCAGTGCTTTTGTTATTTTGAAGTGTTATTTGATTCAAAGCATACTGAGCTTCTTCTGCCTCTCCTTGCTAATTCAAATAGCAGCACAAACCTGGAAACTCTATCTCAGTCCTTGAGACAAGGAATAACCCAAATCTGGTCCAGATCCTTGATGACCGTGATTCATGAGAGTGGTGGAGGAACCCTTGGCCCTATCCTGAACCAGATTACAGGGGGTCACTCAAAAGTGGCAGGCTGTGAAAACCAGAGAAATGGACACTGATAGCCTTGCTCAAAATGTCTGGCTCTGTGATCAACTTCCTTCTCTTCTAATATCCAGGTGTTCTCTGTACTCCTTCCCCTCATCGCCTCCCAACTCTGGGCCCCCAGGAACTGTGTTACCTGGAATCTAGTTTCTTGGAGTCCTTGGACCTCTGTACGTGAGATAGATCTGATGAATTGGATAAGATGACAGAGTGGAGGCTTTGGCATCGGCTGGGAACAGGGCTTCAGGGACGGGGATGAAAAATGTAAACGAGACCACACCTTGTGATCTTTGGACTCTCCTGAGGTGGAGAGTACAGAAGTCTCTGACTGTCGGTAATCCCTTTCTCACTTCCTCTTAGCCTCTTTCCCTGCCCTTTTCCTTCTGGCAGGGAAGGGAACACAGTGTGAATCACCTGTCCTCATCCCCTTCCTCTATACCTTCCCTTCACTTCTGTATGGTCTGGAACTGAGAGAGAAAGGGGATGGGGGCATAGGAAGATTCCCAATTCTACGGAAGAAGAACCAAACGTATGTGACTAGGTATATAGGTACTGAAATAAGGTGATAGGCAGATTAGAGGGCTGGTCTTATAGTCCAGAAGACTTCTGGCACTCTCTAACTGTGTGTTTCTAGGCAAATCACTTATTTTGCCTTCGAGAAAGACAGTATCTGTCCTCATGGAGATTACAATGTAATCTGGGAACACAACACACAAATGGCAAAAGGAAGGGGCTGGGGAAAGAACGGGGAGCATGATGGAGAAGTCCAAGGAGGGCAGCCAGGTGAGAAATGAAGAGATGGCTGGCCTGGGCATCTTCCTAAAGGGAGGTTTGGGGAGCAGCACTTTGAGCCGCCTTCCAATCAGAAGGGTCCCAGGGTCTGAGGATGCTGATGAGACGTGAGTGCCAATTACTGATGTGACATTGCAGGATGATGAAATTGTGCCAGGCACTGTGCAAGGCACCAGACAAACAAAAACAAACAGGTCCTCCCTTCAAAGAGCTTGCCTTCTACCAGGACCTGCTAGGCAGTACAAGAATAGGTTTTGGATATTTTGCAAATGGATATAGAAGTATGAGATAACACATAGATAATATACCTCCTGGGCTGAGACTCCCACTTGAGCCTGTGATTTCTCCTTCACCAGTAGGAATATGGGCTCCATCCAACTCATTCAGTTCTAGCCGCAATCCTCTCTCTACATCTGTGTCATACCCTGTAGCAGATGCCCTAATCCCTGGCCGAGAACTGGGCACTATTAAGCAGAGGTGAAAACCTTCACCTTTCTTTCTCTATCCAACCTAGATCCACCCATGTAATTTCTTTTTTAAAAAAATCTTATTTTTATTTATATATTATTTTTACCTCATCTTTATTTCTAAATATGTCCCTCTCTCTCCTCCATCTGGTAAGCTATCTCTTGTAACAAACATTAAAAAAAGAAAGGGAAAAAAATCAGTCCAGCAAAACCAATATATTAACTCTGTCAGACTGTCTAGGCAATATTCTACACTCATAGTCCATCACTTCTTGCAAAAAAAGGATGGAGGTACATTTTGTTCACCTCTTCTCTGGAACGTAATTTGGTTATTATAATTACACAGCATTCAGTCTTGTTTTATGCTCTTTCCATTTACATTGTTGTAGTCATTATGTTTATCATTTTTCTGGTTCTGCTTACTTCATTCTATATCAATTCAAATAAGTCTTCCTATGTATAGTAGGGGGACACTTCACTTGCTTCTCTGAATTATTTATAATATTTATGGTACAATCATATTTTATTACATTCAGATACTGCAATTTATTTAGCTGTTCCCCAATAGTTAGCCATCTACTTTACTTCTAATTCTTTCTTAACCCAAACAGTGCTGCTATGAATATTTTGATAACCATGAGACTTTTCTTTCTGTGTTTGATCTTCTTGGGTAAAATACCTAGCAGTGGGATCTATGGGTCAATAGTTATAAACCCTTTAATCACTTTTTTTTTAAAGTACAATTTTGTTCATTTATTCATGGAGGCTATCAGGGTTAAGTAACTTGCCCAGGGTCACAGAGCTAGTAAGTGTCTGAGGTCAAATTTGAACCCAGGTCCTCCTGACTCCAGGGCCAGTACTCTATCCACTGCTCCACCTAGCTGCCCCTCTTTTCACATAATTTAAAATAGTTTTCCAGAATGGTTGCACTAATTCACAGCTCTATTAACAGTCCCCTAGCACTCTGGTTTTTCTGAAGCCTCTTCAATATTGGCTGTTTCCTACTTTTATCATCTTTAACCAATTTGCTGCAAACCAGTTAATTCCAGCACCTGTTGATCAAATGCAAACTACATTATATACTGTGCTAAGCACTGAAGATATAAGGAATGATAAAGACCCTGCCCTTAGGGATAAGTTTTCTTGCTATTGTTCAGTTGTGTAGGCCTCTTCAAGACCCCACTTGGGGTTTTCTTGGCAAAGATACCAGAGTGGTTTGCCATTTCCTTCTCCAGATCATTTTACAAATGAGGAAACTGAGGCAAAACAGGGTTAAGTGACTTGTCCAAGTTCACCCAGCTAGTAAGTGTCTGAGGCCGGGTTTGAACTCAGGAAAATGAGTCTTCCTGACTCCAGGTCAGTTGCTCTGTCCACTGGGCCACCTAGCTGACTGAAGGTACCAGCTTAATTTCTGTTGTTACCACCTTCCCAGCATTTGTTTTCTCAGGAGACTCTCACCAACCTCCCTGTGCCCCTTCCTCTTCCTTCCCAGACAACGTCTCCTCAGTAACTTTTCCTTTGAAATTCAGAAGCTTGCCCTTTGTCCTAGGACCCCTCCCATATGGACTGGGCTAGAGGCTTCTGGGAAGGACCCAGAAGAATCAGATGTGTTGAAGAATAGTGAGCATTCCTCTGGTCTCTAGGAAGCCAGTCTACTTTTTATCCGCTCCACTTTGCCTCAGCTTTGTAGGATCTGGGTAACTAAATCCTCTCCTCTCTCTTCACTTCTGACTCATCTCTGTGGAAAAGCTGTAGCAGATGGGAATCAGCAGCCACCACTGACTCTAGGCTTCCCTGTCCTTAGCTTTCACCATTAGCTCTGCCAGCTTTGTCTAGGGAGCCGGGACAGCTGCTGCAAACTACCACCTCTGCTCTCCAGGGGGTAATCTATTTGTTCTTTCCAGTTATTTTGGCCTGGAGGTGACTGAACACATTTCTCCCTCGGTTCCAATGAAGGAAGGTTGGAAAAATTACTAGGGCCTTCGTTGGATGACGAAATAAAAGACAAAGCAGAAGAGATTAGAAAGACATAGAAAGGAACAAGAATCTTTAGGAACAAAACAAAACTTCAAACTAACTTAAAGCAGGATTCAGTAACTTAACCTATAACTGCTGTTATAATGAATTGGTAGGCTGATACCTAAACCTCATCAGAATACGGAGCAGTTACAGGATTCTAATTGGGCATTTTACATTTCACCTTAAATTTGCACTGCCTAACTCTCGGAATATTTCTGCTGGTTAAGTTGCCAGGCTTGTGTCAATCTTGTTGGTGGCCATTTTCTCTGATGAAGTTTTCCCTGCTGTCTGCTAGTTCCAGTTCAAATCTGGCCTCCCACACTTACTAACTGTATGACCCTGAGCAAGTCGCTTAGCCCTGTTTGTCTCAGTTTCCTCACATATAAAATGAAATGGCAAATCACTCCAGTATCTTTGCCAAAGAAACACCAAGTGGAGTCACGAAGAGTTGGAAACAAGTGAAATAACTGATCAACAAATTTTATTCTGAAATACCACTCTACCCTGTTGGGAAGAGCTGGAGACTGAGAGTCAGAAAAACTGGGTTCAAGTTTCAGGACTGCTATTTATTACCTGTGTGACCCCAGGCCAGTCACTCAATGTGCTTCGACTCTCTGAGCCTCAGTCTCCTCATCTATAAAATGAGAGGTTTGCACTAGAGGAATCTCTAAGGTTCCCTCCAGCTCTAAATACTAAAATCCTGTGAACTAGTCCAGAAATTGAATTTTAGGAAAGGATAAATTATCTTAGGAACCAACTGGTTAGTATGGCAATGGGATAGAAAGAGAAAGAAATCAATAGATTGAAGGAGAAGGGAAGATTTCAAGGGGCTAAAGCCACAGAGATCTTCAGAAGATATGAGAGAGGAAAATTTAAGACTGGGTAAAGATGGCTTGAAACCCAGGGAAAACCTTTAGGGTCTTGATAGGAAGTGGTCTTTCCTACTGAAGGGAGCAGGGAACAGGGAACAGGGACCAAGGCAAGATATAAAGGGACCAGGAAGGGGAAGTTTATTCCAGAGTCCAAGGAAATGGCCCATTGTAGGAGTTATTGCAAAACCAAGAAACAGATTATGCAAGGGACTGAAACTCCCACCCAACCAAGAGTTTTAGATGCCAGCACAGGCTATATTTCATTTGTTTAGTTTGAGGTCAACTAGGGAAAAAGGACTTGGGGACTGGTTGGCCTATAAACCATGTCACCCTAGCCGGCCTGTGGCTAGACATGAGTTCATTCAACTTTGTAGTCATACTTCATCATCAACAGTCATACTGTTTCTTTGATTGGAGAGTGGAGCCACGAACTACAAAACCTCCATTTAAGGATAGAAGATATAGCCGACTCTTCACGTCCCGTACAGATACACACCTTTTTTTTGCTTTTTCATATGTGTGCTCCTTATCGGCACTTATCACATACCTGGCACACAGTAGGTGCTTAAAGGGAAGGAGGAAGAGAATAAGCATTTATATAGCACCTACTATGTTCCAGACACTGTACTATGCATTTTACAAATATTATCTCATTTGATTGGAGCAATTATCCCCATGTTATAGTTGAGGAAACTGAAGCAAGCAGAAATTAAGTGACTTGACCAAGATCACATAGCTAGTAAGTATCTGAGGGCAGATTTGAACTCAGGTCTTCTTGACTCTAGACTCAGCTCTCTATCTGCTTTGCCATTTAGCTGCCTTAATAAATGTTTATGGACTGACTCAGCAACTCAAGAAACTTTTATTAGACACTAGTGCAAAATTTGAGCAAACATGACATAGGGGATAGAAAACTGGTGTTGGAGTCATGAAGACTTGGGTTCAATTCACCTCTGATACAGTACTATCTGTGCTCTGAGAATGCTGGCTGCATGACCCTAATTAAGTCACGTAATCTCTCAGGCACCAGGCAAACTTCTAAGACTATGGGCTGCAGAGCTATT